CTCATATCATGTGACACCTTATAGTAACAAAGGTTATGCATCAAGATTTCTATGTGCTTGAGGTATGCCGACTAGATTGAAAGGTAAAGTTTATCGTACAACAATTAGGCCTGCATTAATGTATGGTGTAGAGTGTTGGGCGGTGAAACAATGTCACATTCAAAAGATGAGTGTGGCAGAGATGTGTATGTTGTGTTGGATGTGTGGACATACCAGAAAGAGCGCTTGAGGAATGAGATAATCAGACAAAAGGTGAGAGTAGCACCTATAGAAGATAAGATGCAGGAATCTCGTTTGCGATAGTTTGAGCATGTGCGTAGAAGACCGAGTGATGCACCTGTTAGACGACTTGAGGAGTGAGGAGAAAAGACATAGAGGAGAGCGAGGGGAAGACCCAAATAGACTTAGATTAGAGGAATTAGAATTGATATGCATCTTCTTGGGTTGGATGTGAGCATGACTTTGGAGAGAGCAAAATGGAGGGCGCACATTCGTGTGGACGATTGATCTCTTTTCTATCTTTCCTCTCCTGTTTTCTTTTATCGTTTATCTTCTTTATCTTTTTATGTTTTTATGTTATTTTTATCTTCTAGCTTTTTATGCTCTTTATCTTTTTATCTTTTACTTCCTCCGTCCCGTAAAATTCTTCCAACTTTCCTTTTTGGGCCGTCCCAAAAAATTCTTCCCACTTACCATTTTTGGACAATTTGTGTGGGTCACATTCATTTCACCTTTTCTTACACAACTACAACCATACATTTCCATTTTATTCCAATTCCTTAATATGCAAGCCAAGTCAAAGTTGGAAGCTTTTATTGGGACGAAGGTAGTATCTTTCTTAAATTCTTATGTTGTTGTTATGTTATATTTATTTATCTTTATCTTATCCATTTTATCTTACTTTAATTTTCTTCTTCTTCTTGTCTGTCTTCTCTTTTTGGCATCAATATCATGGATCGATTTATATTAGACGACCCCAAAATCTTTTGGAATTAAAGTTTGGATGTTGTTGTTGTATGCATTTGTGCGCGCATCAAGAAAAGATAAATCCATTGCATTCTAAGTAATATCTTTTGTATGTGGCTCCATTTCTCTATTATCTCCCCCTAAGGCTGGGAATACTCTCTTATCAAAATGACAGTCATCAATCTGCTCGATGAAGAAGTCACCAGTCATATGTTCTAGATAGTTTATAATTGAGGGAGATTTCAAACCAACATAAATTCCTAGCCTTCTATGAGGACCCATTTTAGTACGATAAGGTAGAGCAATTGATACATACACAACACAACCAAATATTTTTATGTGTGATATAGTTGATTCTTTATCAGATACTAATTGCAATGAAGAAAATTTATGATATGCAGTTGACCTAAGCCGAATTAAATTTGCAACATGCATGATAGCATATCCCCATGGAGATGATGCTAATCTGGATTTTATCAATAATGGTCTAGCAATTAATTGTAATCGCTTAATTAATGATTCAACAAGACTATTTTGTGTATGTACATGTGGAAGAAGATGTTCCACATCAATCCCAATTGACATGCAATAGTCATTAAAAGATTGAGATGTAAATTCTCCAGCATTATCAAGTCAATTTTTCTTTATTGAATAACCCGGAAATTGTGTTCTCAAACGTATAATATGAGTAAGGAGATTTGCAAATGCAAAATTTCTAGTCGATAAAAGACTAACGTGTGACTAACGTGTTGATGCATCAATGAGCACCATAAAATATCAAAAGAGTCCACACGGAGGAGCAATATGCCCACAAATATCTCCTTGAATTCTTTCTAGTAATGCATGAGATTCAACTCCAATTTTATATAAAGATGGCCTGATAATTAATTTGCCAAGAGAAAAAACAGTGCATGAAAAATCACTTGATTGTGGAATTTTGACATTATTTAATGAATGTCCAAGTGAATTTTGAATACTTTTGTGCATCATAGTGCTTCCTGGATAGATGACCTAAATAGTCACGCCACAAGATAAAAGTATTGTGGTCATTAATTGTAGATACCACATTTATCTCAATTGGATTGATATATGTATAATACAGTCTCGAGGAATATGCTGAGTTTATTTCAGAAATGTACTTATTGCCAGATCTATTTGTCATTATACATAAATATTCCTTCTGATTTTCAGACATGATTTCAATATGAAAACCATTTAGATGCATATCTTTAAAACTCAAAAGATTTCATTGTGATTTAGTGGAGTATAAAGTATCTTTAATTACTAATTGTGTCCCTTTTAGGAGAATCACACATGCTATTCCAGAACCTTCAATGAGTTTTGCAACACCTGACATTAGATTTAACTAATGTCATATGAGAAAGTTATGCACATTTTAATGAATAATTTATTGTTTATATTACACTTTGAACTAATATTTGTTCATTTTTATCTTCGCGAATATATGAAGTTGTTTGAAAACCCTCCAAGTCATTTTGAACAACAATTTTGAAGCGGAAGACTTCAATCTGAATGAAGGGTTTCTATGCAAATTTGGAGGTCAATCAAACTATTTTTATCATTCCAAGCAATTTTAAAAATAAAATATGAGTTAGAATAATTTACCGATAGACTTCAGCCACGTGTGAGATGTACCAAAACACTTTATAATGTAAAGACACCATAAAAATTTCCATTATATTATGTACTAGTTAATAAACGCGCCATTTGCGTTCGTGTGAATGCACAAGAAAACATATTATTTTACGATGTTAAGAACAACTATAGACAATTTCTTCAGACCAAAATGGTACTCCATATACTTTACGGAGTATCTCTAATGCTATTAATGCACGATGCATATGTGGCATGAGAGATAGCGACATAAATATTAATAAATAAATAATTTTTCTCTTTATTTGAATTATTTTATACAATTTTAGTTAATTTTTCTCCACAATCTCAAATTTACATGTGAAAAACTAATAAGAACTAGTGTTTTTCATTTTCATAACCTACCATAAGTCATTTGAGAAGCTATAAGCGTTGATAGCATGTTTTAGGCCGGCGAGTCCTTTCAATATTTCTTATCTTATATTATTTCAAAAGAAAGTAACCATCCTCTAGTAACTGATAAAAAAATTAATTAAAGCATAATTCATGTCAAGTAAATTTTGAAACCATCAACTACTTTTGTATTCTTCGGAAACTTTTTTACTTTTTTTTGAGCATATTTTATGAAATGATACACTATCTTTAGAAATTAGTCCTATCTCCCACTCTCCGTACTTTTTAGCTATGTTTAAAAAACTGATCCGGATCGGTCGGTTCGACCCGAAACCCAGCAATGTGGACCAAAATCCGATTCGGTTAGTTAAAACCCTGAAAGCGATAAAATTTTGAGAAAACCCGGATGACCCGGAAAAACCCGATCCAGACCCGGATGGCAATCTATAAAGATAATATTTACTTCTAAAAGTACAAGATTGTGCTCAAATATAGTAAAATAAAAATTAGAAGAGACTATGATTTAAAGAGTAAAAGATATCTAAAAATCTAAAATATGTTCAACATGTTATTTATAGCCGGAAAACTCACGGTTGAGTTTTCAAATGGTGGTTCACTCCCAAACCCAAGGGTGAGTAAATGAAAGGTTAAATAGCATTAATTGAATTGAAATAAAAAATGAAGTTATTGATGCTTAAATGGAAGTTAGCTAACGTTTGGAAGTACTATTCTATAGTAGAAAAAAATTATGCTTATAGAGATGTAGAGATAAAGGTGTTCTTAAGAAGGAGAATACTCCTATTTACAGGAAAAAAACTAAGCTCCTTAGGAATAGAGGATAATTGTGAACTACACAATTATCATCCTAGGATCATAATTACGATTTTCTAAATAATTATAGTAGTCGGAAGATGACTAATTGAATTATATTTCAACATAGTTCATTTAATTTGCGTATTCGTCTTACATGTTCCGTTCCTGTCCAGTCGGTCTGACGGGAAACGCCACCCAGCCGAGGGAATTTTGGGACCTTCCCGGTGGAATTTTTCGATAAATTTTTTGCGCATGTTCTTCATCAAGTCTAGTTTATCATACCAAATTTCAGCTAAACATTCCTTCGGGAAGATAGTCAAACACGTAATTGAAAACGACTACACGCTTTATATATATAAAGCGCATTTATCTTCAAAAAATTATTTGAGTACCTTCACGGTTGATTTTTTTAGCCAAAATTTGATATGAGTAAACTATACTTGATGAAGAACATGCTCAAAAATTTCATCAAAGAATTCCACCAGAAAAATCCCGAAATGCCCTTCGATGGATGCGATTCCTGTCCGACCGGCTGGACATGAATTGTCCTCCTCTTCATTTACTGTCAAAAGAAAACGGAAGCGTATATCATACAACCGGCTGTACGGTTGGCAACGTACATCCGGTGGCAGTTTTGTAAATTTGATGAAAATCATGATTTCTCTTAAATGAGCATTGATACAATTTGCATGAGCGTCAAGTATGTTCTTTTGAGTATTAGGAGCATAACAATGAACACCAGTGATCTCTGCTTCGTATCTTCTAATTCAATTTCTTTATATTATTTTTTCGTTTATAAAAAATTATTAAATGATTTATAATCAATTTCAATTAATTTCAATATGTGAATCTAATGTAGTATGATATGCTTGATATGTGCAACATCTTAAAATGAACATAAAGCAGTACTAGATGAGCATACATAATTTACAAAATGAGTATCAAAAAATTCAAAAGCTCATTTGTGTATGCTCATTGATTTTGGATGTTATACTCATTTGAGTTTAAAATAAAACACATTTTAATGAGCTTAATATTCGGCTGCGTATGTTCATTTCTTTTATGCGTATACTCATTTGAATTTAATATAAAACTGATTTTTAATGTGCTTAATATTCAGTTGTGTATGTTCATTTCTTTTATGTGTATACTGATTTGAGTTTAATATAAAACTCATTTGAGATCAATAGCAGTAAGGATTCTTTTGTCTGCAGTAGGCTCTCTTTGTCTTCCGAAATCACAATCTCAAACAACAAAACTGAATAAAAAAAAGGAAAAAAAAAGGAAAAGAGTCAAAAGAAAGAAAGAGGGAGGAGAAGTAACTACGCAGACGGATCTGCTCCATCGAGGAGAAGGGGATGAGATGTGAGCGGCAACGACGAGCAACGAGCCCGAAGAGAAAGAGACGAGTGGTGAGCGTTGGTGACGGTCAACCAAGTGCGAAGCCAGATCAAAGAACCAAGAAAGATGGGAGAAGCTGGTGCGAAGTTTGGTGCGATTCGAGCGAGCAGAGTTGTTACGATGCGAAGCGAAGAAAGCCGGTTGTACCGTGAGCTGTAAAGCCGGTTGCCGGTTGTACCGTGTATTTTACTAAAGAAAACCATCCTCAAAAGTGCTGGACGCACCTCACTTTTTTCAAAACCTGACATATTTGTACCCGAAAGTAACAATTTTTATTTTCTTTCATTAATTTAAAGATCAAAGTTTCAAAATTCATGTTGTTGGGAAATCCATCTCCCTTCTCGGAACCGGAGTGTGGAGATGCCGCAGCATTTGGCTCCAACGAAGAAGACCCTTCGAAACTCCTCACTGTTCCAACAGCAACCGGGTATAAACTTTACTCCTCTTCTCTCTCGGTCTTACATTTTCCTCATCTTAGCACAGTTTAAACGTCTGCTCTCTATTTTGAGCGCTATGCCAGGGGGGTTAGACACAAGTGTCCGGCATGCTTTAAGCAATACAAGAAAAAGGAGCATCTGGTTGAGCACATCAATACTTCTTACCATTCTGTTCATGATCCCAAGTGTGGGGTATGCCAAAAGCATTGCAAATCATTTGAATCCCTGCGGGAACACATCATTGGTGAGATCATTGTCAGTGATTATAGATACCCTTCGGGTAAATTTTTAATCTTCATGGGGTTTCTTACTTCTTGACTTTTTGTGTCTGAAACATTTTAGGCCCCTTGTCCAAAGCTAGCTGTTCAACAATATTTGCAGAAAGAGGTTGTTCTTTGTGTTTGAAAATATTTGACTGTTCCGATTCCTTAAGCCAGCATAGAGATATATGTTGCCTTCCAGCTCCTGCGCCTCTGGTAAGGAGAGCGGATAATTTGGATTTCATTCATTTGCAGTGTTGGGAATTTTGACATTTTTTCGATTCGCTCACTCGTGCAAGCTCTAGATATTTTTCACTCACACACTCAGGCTCTATTTGGAACTCGGAAAATGATAAGGAAAGAAAGTAGAAGGGAAATATGCAAGGAAAGAAAATGGTCTGAAACAACTGGTTCATACCCAATAAATCAATTGTATACTCCGTATGCTTTTTGAAGTCATTATTTATATATTCCTGTAATGTACTACGTATAGACAGAATTCTAGAAATATGTAAAAATAAAAAGTTTATATTTTTTTAGTCTTTAGTGTTCTCCACGTTAAACCCAAACATAAAAAAAAACAATTTTCCATTGCATCCCCCCTCTCCCTACCATTTTCAGAATTCCAAACATTGCCATATGAAAAGATGCGATGTGAAGAAGTAACTTTGCATCTCGGATAAGGTCATTTTTCAAGGTATATGATTATACGTAATATTCAAATTAAATTATTTGTTTTACATATAACAAAACAACTTTCTGTAGCATTTTTCACCTTATCCTACCATTTCCTGAGCTCCAAAGGCAGCCTTATACAAAAGCACAATGTGTGAAAATAACTTTGTATTTTGGGGAAGGTTGACATTTCAAGTTAAGTAGATTATTCATGATATTAAAAGTAATTAACTTATTTTCCAAGGTAATACCCAACATTAAAAAAAGAAACTTTCCTTAGCATTTTCCCCATTTCCTACCATTTCCAGGTTTCTAAATACAGCCTTAGATACTAGATAGACACTGTGAGGAAGTAGGTTTGTATATGGGGGAAGGTTGATTCCAAGGTAAATTGATCATACATGGTGTTAAATTATTTGTTGTGGCTTGTTGCAGGGAACAATGGGGGTTCCTTTTACAGAAATTGAAATTGACAATTCATCTCTAAGTGATGTGGATGGATATGGAAGTGGAAGAGAAGCAGTTGCCATGGATTGCGCAATTGTAGGCGGGGGAAGTGATGGATCGCTCGATCTTTGTGCTAGGGTTTGCCTTGTCAATGAAGTTGAAAAGATATTTTTCCACAGCTATGTTATACCTGAGATTTCTATAACTGATTATAGGTATGAAATCACAAGTGAAGATGAAAAGTTATATTTTCCAATTCATTTCGTATTGTTTTACTGAAGAAGAAAAGTTAGTTTTTTTTTCTATTTAGGTATGAAATCACGGGAATTAAAGAAGAACATATCAGAGATGCATTGCCACTTGTGGAAGTGAGGGAGAAGATTCTGGAGATTCTTCATAATGGAGAATCCATTTGGAAAGTGAGAATGGGTGGTGGAAGAGCTAAGGTTCTTGTAGGGCATAACCTTACTCGTTTCTTACAATGCCTGGGAATGTACTATCCTGACGATTTACTTAGGTAAGAAACTGTTCATTTATCAAACTCTGCTGTAAAAATACCTTCCTACACACTAGCATGTACGTCTGTCTTTAGGTACTACTAACCATTTATTTGCTCAGGTAAAAAAAACGTTGTGTAGATTAAAGATTTTTGTGTAAGATATATACATATATACTACCTCCATGAAAAAGACAGTTATGTTTGACCAATGTACAATGTTTAAATTTTAGTGAAGTAGAATTTAAATCATTATGGTCACTTGACCAAAAAAAATCATTATGGTCGTCACTGCATATCAAAATTCACGTTTTGGTCCTTTTAGGGAAAATTCCTGAAATAGGAGAAAAATAATGTAAAAATCCAAAACAGGAGCACTATGTTTTTCCCCTAAATGGGAGTACATTACTGTGACCTTGAGAATTCACTGCAGTAAATACTCCTATATAAGGAATAAAAACATAGTGGCCTTATTTTGAAATTCCAAAACGTTTTTACTCCTATTTAAAGCAATTTCTCTATTTTATTGCAGTCGTATATTTGTCATTTTTTAGCAAATTACATGTTAATTTAGTTTCATTTGATGAAACTGTGCTCTTATTTGCACAAAAAGGAAGTTTGGGAAACACTTTTTTGCAGGATGTAGTCACGTAGGGAGTATCTGTCTCCCCAAACATGAAATATGTTTTATGTTTCATTGATGAGTTCAAATACCTGTGTGGGTTAATGCCGCTTGTTTATCTATTTCTGGTTTTGCAGAGATACTGCTAAGTACCAACCTTTGGCAAAGACAAATTTTTTCAGCCACACTCTCAAGTATCTTACCAAGACATATCTGGGGCAAGTCAATTACCTCCTTCGTAACTACCCCGTACCTGCTTAACCTATGATGTTCGGCAACGATTAATCTAGGGACCTGTTTGGTAAAGGTTTTTTTGTTTAAAAATGAATGAATCTCCTGAAAAAGTGCTTGGAAAATATACTTTGTTTACTGTAGTGGTAAGCAGAACAGGACAAGTACGGCTACCAATGCGATTAAGGGTTCATTTGGTAATTCCAACCAAATGAGCCCTTAATCTATTTTATTTACTTATTTGTACGAATCAGTTGAATTTGCTCAAGTGGAAAGCGTTCTGTAAAATTGATTCCAACCAAGTCAAATGCTATTTTTTTGCTTACCCTGGTAATTCTGTACAGAGTAAGCAGATTAGATTAAAATCTATCAAACCGGGGCTAAGTAAATTGTTGTTGAACACAAAATGACAATTTTCTTGAAATATAATTTCCCTGAATGAGAGTTTGGTCCAAATTAACAGGTATACCATTCATGAAGGGGTACACGACACATATCAAGACAGCGTCACAACGATGAGGCTGTATAAGAGAATGAGGTTCCAAGACCACCATTTGGATCAGAATGTAACCTCGGTGGCCCCGCAAGACTCCATGGGCTTCAGTTTATTCAACTCAAAGCAACTAGAAAGCATGACACCTAGCGAGCTTCTTGAGATGTCTAAGGCGAACTACCAGTGTTGGTGCCTGGATTCAAGAAGAAAATGATCTCTGCGAACCGTTTCTTAGTGTGCGAATATTGCACTGCAGTATGCTTATAGTTGATCAATCCTCATGATTATGATAATATTTTCAAATACGTAATTAGTAAACCCTGCAATGTGTGAACTAGTAGCCAGTCCCGTTTCAAGTGACTAGCTCCAACTCACAGACGCTAATGCAGTTCGTGATAGCACTAGACCTAGATGTTGGATTGGACCAGTGAATAACCAGACCAACAGCCTGTTTTTATGACTCTGGACAGGAACCAGTATCTGGAACGATCAAAATGGGTTCAGGATCCCCCAAAATAGGCCTGTACTGGTTTCCAGCCCCTGTTCTTTTTAAATATTTAATTAGGCTGAAACTGGAATCAAATAGGGACCGGCCGATAATGGATTAAGCCTCCTTGGGATCTAGAATCAGTTGATCTAGAATAAAAACTGAACCTGGTCCACACCTAGTTAACCACAATATTGTGGGTAGAAAATCCACTTGCCTCTATTTCAGCCTAATTTGTTCAAAGTGTAGTTTAAGACTTCAAGTTGCTATAGAACAGATAATATAATCGGTTTAAGAAGCTTTACTCATTGTTCAAAAGTTACCAAATTTCAG